CACCGCCGCCTCCGCCGCCGCCGCCGCCGCCGCAGCCGGCTCCAACGCCGCCACCGCCACAGGCCGAGCGCCGGCCCGACGCGACCGAGGCCGGCGGAGACCGAGCCACCCGCCGTCGACGTGCCGCAGGGGGCGCCGCAGAAGGCGCCACGCCGGGCCGGGCGACGATCCTGGGTGAAGAGACGGCCGCGAACGGCCGGACCGCACCCCGAGTCCGAAAGACCCTGTTGGGTCAGTGAGGAAGGTCGAGATGACCGAGCGAGAAACCTTGCGCAGCCGCCTGATGAAGCGGCGCAACGCCCTGAAGAACGAGCGCGAGGACTGGCGCGAGCACTGGGAGGAACTGGGCGACTTCGTGCTGCCGCGACGCCTGCGGTTCAGCGACCGCGACGACAAGGGGCGGCGTGGCAAGAAGATCAACACCCGCATTGTCGACAGTACGGCCACCTTCGCCCTGCGCACCCTGGTCGCCGGCCTGATGACGGGCGTGACCAGCCCGGCCCGACCCTGGTTCAAGCTGACGCCGCGCAGCCACGGTCTGGCCGAACGGCCGGAGGTCTCGCGCTGGCTGCACAGCGTCACGCTGTTGATGCGCGACATCTTCGCCGCCTCCAACGTCTACAACGCGCTGACGGTGGGCTACGAGGATCTGGGCCTGTTCGGCACCACGGCGATCTATATCGAACCGGACTTCGACGACGTGATCCGCCTGCGGCCCATGCCGATGGGCAGCTACTATCTGGCGTCTGGCGCGAACGGTCTGGTCGACACCTGCTACCGCGATCTGCGCATGACCGTGGCGCAGATGGTGGAGGAGTTCGGCCTGGAGGCCTGCTCGGCCAGTGCCCAGAGCGCCTACCGCAACGGCGAGCTGGATCAGGAGTTCTGGGTCTTCCACGCCATCGAGCCACGCCGCGACCGCAACCCCGCGCTGGGCGATGGCCGCAACAAGCGCTGGCGCTCGGTCTACCTGGAGGAGGGCGCCGAGGAGGGCAAGCTGCTGCGCGAGAGCGGCTTCGACTCCTTTCCGGTGCTGGCGCCGCGCTGGTACGTTACCGGCAACGACGTCTACGGCCGCAGTCCGGCCATGGACGTGCTGGGCGACATCAAGCAACTGCAGGTGATGCAGAAGCGCAAGGGGCAGGCGGTGGACAAGCAGGTCAACCCGCCGATGCAGGGCGGGCCGGCCTACGGCAACCACCATGTCTCCCTGCTGCCCGGCGCGATCAACATCCTGGCCGACGGGGACCTGCAGCGGCAGGGCTTGCGGTCCGTCTACGACGTGCGGCTGAACCTCGGCGATCTGCGGCAAGATATCTTCGAGACGCAGGAGGCGGTGCGGCGCGGCTTTTTCGCGAATCTCTTTTTGATGATCTCCAGCATGGATCGGCGTCAGGTGACGGCAACGGAGATCGCCGAGCGGCGCTCCGAAAAGATGCTGGCCTTGGGGCCTGTGCTGGAGCGGCTGCAGAACGAGCTGTTGGAGCCGCTGATCGAGCGGACCTTCGAGATCGCGGCGACTGCCGGCATCCTGCCGCCGGCGCCAGAGGTCCTGCAAGGCCTGGATCTGAAGATCGAACTGCAGTCGATCCTGGTGCGCGATCAACGGGTCGACGCGATCCAGGGGATCGAGCGCCTGACCGGCTACGCGGGCGGGCTGGCGCAGATCGATCCCGCCGCCGGCATGAAGGTGGACTGGGCCCAGTCGGTCGACGAGATGGGCGAGCTGCTGGGCGTGCCGCCGACTATCCTGCGCTCCGACGAGGAAGTGGCCGCTCTGCAGCAGCAGAGCGCTCAGCGTCAGCAGATGGCCGAGGGCCTGGCCATGGCACAGCAGGGCGCCAGCGCTCTGAAGGACGCCGGTGCCGGAGCACAGTCGCTGGATGGCCTGCAGATGCTGCAGGCGGCGATGGGGCAGGATGGCGTGGCGGCTGCAACCGGGGGTGCGGGCGCGCCTGAAATCCATGGGAGCGCTTAACATCGGGCCTTTTGCCACACAGAAATATTCTTGTGTGGCAAGCGGTCTGCGTATCGCGTGACAGGCAGTCGCGAAAGAGACGCCGTTTCAAGCAATGGATCGAAGATCATGGACCCAGAGGACCGGCGTGAGCGGCGGACCCGCGAGAAGCTGGAGGAGCGCCAGGCGGCCTTTCTGGCTGATCTCGCCGCCCTGCTGGAGACGGAGAGCGGCCGGCGCGTCTTCGCGCGGCTGCTGATGGAGACGCGGCCCTTCGCCAGCGTCTTTTCCGACAATCCGCTGGAGATGGCGCGGCGCGAGGGCGAGCGCATGGTCGGCGAGACCTGGCGGCGCTACTGCGCCGTGGCGGAGCCCGAGCAGTATCTGGCGATGGAGCGCGAGATCGCGCATCAGGACGGACGAAGGTCCACTGGGCGGGAGACGGAGCGAGCGACGCCCGAGGACGACGAGACTTAGCCAGTAACGGCGAGGTCTCTTATTACTGCCCTGACTTCCGTGCCTGGCGGCCCGGCCCTTCGTGCTTCGACAAGCTCTGCATGAAGGGCGTTCGAGATATTCGCGCATTCTGCCGCGTTTGCGCAGCCAGCAAGGTGATCATCGAACATGACGACAGACTCTGAGACCTCCGCCACGGCGGCGGAGGGAGAGAGGGCGTTTGCGCCCGAGGCCGAGGATGGCTTCGCGCAGGCGGCCGAGCTGCCCGGCGGCGCTGCGCCGCCGGAGGCCGACGACGACGCTGGGAGCGGGGATCGCGATGACGACTCCGCCGAGTCGGACGGGGCCGAAGGGGAGAGCGACTACAGCTTCGACCTGCCGCCGGACGTGCTGCCCGACGGGGACCTTCCCCTGGGGCTGGACGCCGAGCGCCTGGAGGCCTTCAAGCCGCTGGCGCGCGAGCTGAAGCTGTCCAACGCGCAGGCGCAGAAGCTGGTCGATCTCCACGCCAGGGCGTTGAAGCAGGGCGCCGACGCCCTGATGCAGCGCCACGCCGAAACGGTCGAGGATTGGACGCGGCAGACCCGCGCCGACCCGGAGATCGGCGGAGACAAGCTGGAGGAGACGCTGCGCTTCGGCAACGCCGCCGTCCAGCATGCCTTCGACGCGCCGACGATCGAGCTGCTGAAGCACTTCGGGCTGCTGAACCATCCCGGGTTCATCCGCGGCCTGAGCGGCTTCGGCCGGATCGTCTCCGACGACCATTTCGTCGAATCAAGCGGGACCGCCGCGCCGCGCAGCCGCGCCGAGCGGATGTATCCCGACATGACCAAACCCCAGCGATAAGGAGCTCGCCCCATGGCGACCGTTGGCAGCAGTTACATGACCCTGGCCGACGTGGCCAAACGCACCGACGCGAATGGCACGACGGCCGACATCATCGAGATGCTGGCCGAGTTCAATCCCATCCTCGACGACGCTCCGGCGGTCGAGTGCAACAACGGCACCAAGCACCTGACCACGGTGCGCACCGGTCTGCCGACCGCCACCTGGCGCCGCCTCTACGAGGGTGTCCAGACCAGCAAGTCCCACACCCGTCAGGTCGAGGACACCACCGGCAGCCTGGTCGCGCGGTCGATCATCGACAGCAAGCTGATCGACCTGGCCTCCGATCCGCAGCAGCTCCGCCTGTCGGAGTCCGCGCCCTTCCTGGAGACCATGGCGCAGGAGATCGCCGAGACGGTGATCTACGGCAACTCCGGCAGCGAGCCGGCCGCCTTCACCGGCTTCGCGCCGCGCTTCAACGACCTCTCGGCCGAGAACGGCAACCAGATCGTCGATGCCGGCGGCATCGGCGCCGACAACACCTCGATCTGGATGATCACCTGGGGCGACACCACCGCGCACCTGATCTATCCGAAGGGCTCGCGCGCCGGCGTGCAGCGCACCGACCTGGGCGTGCAGACGGTGATCGACCCCAACAACAGCGGCCGCTACGAGGTCTACGAGGAGAAGTTCGAGCAGGACATCGGTCTGTCGGTGCGCGACTGGCGCTATATCAGCCGCGTCGCCAATATCGACGTCTCCGCGCTGACCGCCGATGCCTCCGCCGGCGCCGACCTCAACGACTTCATGATCCAGGCCTACTACCGCCTGCGCAACCGGCGGGTCGGCAGCGGCAACGCCGGACGCCTGGCGATGTACTGCAACACCAAGGTCAAGGAGTTCCTGCACCGCCAGGCGCTGAACGCCAACGCCAACACCTTCGTGCGCCTGAGCGAGGTCCAGGGCCGCGAGGTCATGACCTTCATGGGCGTGCCGATCCGCGAGATCGACGCGATCGCCAATACCGAAGCGCGGGTGGTCTAAGGGGGCTGCGAGGCGTTCAAGCGCCACGCCGGCTTCTCCTCGCTTCGTTCCGGGCGCGCGGTCGCGCTTGCCACGCCAAGACGCGCAACAGGCGTCACAGCTTGGCGGGTTCGACCCGCGCCGCATCCAAGGGATAGTCACATGATCTTCGATAAGCAGAGTCTCTTTTCCGACGCGCAGGCGATCACCAGCACGGCGGCCTCGACCAACGTCATCGACTTGGGGGCTACCGGCACAGCCAGCAACGGACCCGATGGCGGGGCCGCGCCCCTGAGCCGGGACATGGGCAAGGGCATGAAGGTGCCCCTGCGCATTCAGGTGGTGGAGGACTTCGCCACCCTGACCTCCCTGCGGGTCGCGGTGCAGGTCGACACGGTGGAGAACTTCGCCAGCCCGACGACGGTGCTGGAGACCGAGGCCGTGCCGGCCTCCGAGCTGACGGCCGGCTACGTCTTCGCACTCGACTCCCTTCCGCTCACGACCGACCAGCGCTACGTGCGGCTGAACTACAGCGTGACCGGTCCCGCCGCGACGACGGGCCGGATCACCGCCGGCGTGACGGCCGGCAACCAGACCAACCCGTGACGCCGGCCGATCCGACGGGCGCGCCGATCAAGGTGAGGTCCCACCTGCGCCTGACGGCGGCCGGTCCCACTCTCGTGCGCGCCAGGGCGAAGGGCTTCTATCCGGCCCAGCGGCGTGCGCCCGGCGAGGTCTTTGCGTTGCGCGAAGGCGAAACCCCGGCCTCCTGGATGGAGCCTCTGGCTCCCGCACAGGTCGCCGTGTCCTCCGCAGCCTCCTCAGCCTCCTCAGCCGGGTTCACGCCCGACCCAGTGTCCGATCAAGCGTCTGGGCCGCCTGCCGAACGCGGCGACGACCCCTCGACCTGGCCGCGCCCGCGGCTGGCCGCGTTCCTTCGGGAGCGCGGCCAGACCGCCCATCCGCGTGCCAAGGACGCCACGCTGGCGCGGCGCGTCGAGGCGATCCTGGCGGTGGAGAACCGCTAGCTTGCCGGTTGGGCTTGCGCCATCAGCATGCGCAGGCGGCTGATCAGGTCGGTCCAGTCGACGTAGCAGCCGCGCAGATGGCGGGTGCCTGAGCTGGGATCGAAAGCGGTGCGGCCGTGCAGGGTACGGCGGTTGTTGAAGCCGATCAGATCGCCCGGCCCGGTCTTGAGGGCGATGCGGTAGGCGGGATCGCGGGTCAGGGCCATGAAGGCGCGATAGGCCGGATAGTAGGCCGCCGTGACCTCCGGCTCCATGTCGAAGCTGTCGGCGAGATGGGCGTTCCAGTTGACCTCCACCGGCTCGCCCCGCTCGTCCTCGCGGATGACCGGGCGGCGGTAGCGGATGTCATGGCCGCCGTCGTGGAAGCGGAAGGGAATGGCGACGTCGCGCAGGATCTCGTAGTGGGCCGGCGCGTTGCGGCGCAGGGCCTCGGCCATGCGCAGCCCGTCGGCGAAGAGGGACTCGCCGCCGGTTGCCGAGTTGACCAGGGTGTGCAGGAACTGAAAGCCCGGCGGCATTTCCTGGTTCGGCAGGTCGGTATGCAGCGGCAGGGCGATCGGCGTGTAGGCCAGATTGATCGGCTGCGGCTCGCTGCGCACCTCGAAGGTCAAACCGAAGTTGGTTTCGCGCAGATGGGCGATGCGCCGGCAGACGGCCTCCAGGGCGCCCGGCTCGGCCGGGACCGCCTGCAGCAGAGCGATGCCCCAGCGTGCGAGATCGGAAATCCAGGCGGCGAGCGCGTTGTCGTCGCTCAGGATCGCCGCGCCGGAATGGCGCGGCAGCCTCTCGGCGAAGCCTGCATCCCAGCTTTCCGGCAGGACCGGGGGTAGGGTGCTGTGCCGGGCGGCGCTACCCGCCGCGCGCAACCAGTCGCGGGCCAGCCGGGTTTCGGTCCCGTCGGCCCAGCGCAGACGGATCGTCTCGGGTTCCGCCTGTGCCTCGGCGAGAGCCAGGTTCTCCGGGACGCTGAGGAGATCGAACACCCGCTCCTGCGTGTCCGGGTGGAAACCGGCCGGGTCGTTGTCCCGCAGCCATTGCAGCGCGTGGCGCGTGCGTGCGCCGTCGGGCCAATCGACGGTGAGGAAGGTGTGGTCGGCGGTAAGCCGCATCGCGGAGCTGTCCTTGTTCCGAGAAACGCCGGTTCGATCGCAACCTGCCACAGACCGTAGGAAGTCGTCCCGCGCCGCAGCGACGCGGAACGTCGTTTTCCAGCCGAGCGGCGCTGTGCCAAGGCGCCGTCCCGTGCTATCCGCAGGTCTGCGGTATCGGCCGCCGTGCCGAGAGCGTCCGGCATCGGAACAGGGGAATGGAGCAATGGAGCTGGTTCGAGGCGACCTCGAAAGCGCCGATGTGGCGGCGCTCCTTGCGGCGCACCTGGAGGGTATGGCCGGGCTTTCGCCGCCGGAGAGCGTGCATGCCTTGGGGCTGGAGGAGTTGCGCCGGCCCGAGGTGACCTTCTGGAGCTTGCGCGACGGAGAGGATCTGCTCGGTTGCGGCGCGCTGAAGGAGATCGAGGCCGGTCACGGTGAGATCAAGTCGATGCGGACCGCCGAGGCGCACCTGCGCAAGGGCGTGGCCGCCACCCTGCTCCGGCACATCCTCGCCGAGGCGAAGGCACGGGGCTACCGGCGCGTCAGCCTGGAAACGGGCGCGACCGCCGACTTCGCGGCGGCCCAGGCGCTGTACCTGCGTTTCGGTTTCGTCGACTGCGCGCCCTTCGGCGACTACCGAGAGGATCCCCACAGCCGCTACATGACGCTGGAGATCTAGACGGCGGCTCCGGAGAGGAGGCTCAACAGCCGGCTTTGCGTCGGCCGCCCTTCTGCGACAGACTGGGGCCGTCAAATGCTGGAGAGCTGCCCATGACCCCGGACTACCTGCTGACCTCGCTGGTCGTGATTCTGCTGCCCGGCACCGGCGTGCTCTACACACTGGCCTACGGACTGGGCCAGGGCTGGCGGGCGAGCGTACTGGCCGCCTTCGGCTGCACGCTGGGCATCCTGCCGCACATCGCCGCTAGCATCGCCGGCCTGGCCGCACTGCTGCACACCAGCGCCTTGGCCTTCCAGGTCGTGAAGTATCTCGGCGTCGCCTACCTGCTCTACATGGCTTGGAGCATCCTGCGGGAGGGCGGGGCGCTGCAGGTCTCCGAACGGACCGCCGCCGTCTCCTCGGGCAAGATCGTCGCCAACGGTCTGCTGCTGAACGTTCTGAACCCGAAGCTTTCCCTGTTCTTCCTGGCCTTCCTGCCGCAGTTCGTTCCGGCCGCGGCGACCAACTCCACCGCGTCCATGCTGATGCTGGCGGGCGTCTTCATGCTGCTGACCTTCGTGGTCTTCGTCGGTTACGGCACCTTCGCCTCCGCGACGCGGCACTACGTCATCTCGCGGCCGCGCGTGATGCGCTGGCTGCGGCGCGGCTTTGCCGGGGCCTTCGGTCTCCTGGGGCTGAGGTTGGCGCTGGCGGAGCGTTAGACGCCGGTCTTCACTGCCAACCGCGGCGCCGAAGACTCACGGGGCGACTCCGGCACTGCCCTGCACCGCGCGGCGCAGGGCGGCGCGGGCGAGCAGGCGGGTGGAGTCCAGGGTCGGCAGGGGCGAGTTGCCGTCGTCCACGATCAGGGGAATCTCGGTGCAGCCCAGGATCACGGCGTCGCAGCCGTGCTCCTCCAGGCCGCTTATGATCCGCTGAAAGGCTTTCACAGCCTCCGGCTTGAAGCGGCCGTAGACCAGATCCTCCATGATGATGCGGTCGATCGCGTCGCGTTCGGCCGGCTGCGGGCGGACGATTTCCAGGCCTCGGGCGGCCAGCTTTTCCGGGTAGACCTCGCTGTCGACCAGCCAGCGGGTTCCGGTCAGGCCGAGACGGCGGAAGCCCCGTGCGACGGCGGCCTCCGCCACCACCTCGGCGATGTGCAGCCAGGGCAGGGGAGACCGCGGGGCCATATGGGCGAAGGCGCCGTGGATCGTGTTGTCCGGGCAGATCAGGAAGTCGGCGCCGATCTTCGCCAGCTTCTCCGCCGAGGCCAGGATCAGATCGCCGACGGCCGGCCAGTCGCCCCGCTCCAGACAGGCCGTGTAGTCGGCCAGCGAGGGCGTGTGAAGCGATACCTCGGGGTGGGCGTGCGGTCCGAGAAACTGCGCGCCTTCAACGCAGATCGTCCGGTAGCAGAGGGCGGCGCCTTCGGCCGAGCAGCCGACGATGCCGATGTGCTGCGGGGCCGGGTGCCGGGGCAGGGGGCGTGCGAAAGTCGCGTCTAGCATCGTGCGTCAAGACCCAGGATGTGGTGCAAATCCGGCGGTCGTGGAGCCGGCGATCTTTCACTCTGCCTCGGGATATATGACGCCGCTACCTCTCAAGCGCGAGAATCCATCCTTGCCGTAGCAGCGTGACGTCCAGTCGCCCGGCACAATGTTTGCGATATGTTCTTCTCGGATGCTAGTATCCCTCCGGCAGGCGATCGATGCGAGAGGCCGGAATGAAGCTCACACAGCAGGAAAAGTTCGCGCGCTTTCGGGCGTTGCATGAGCGCGACGGCGCCTTCGTCATGCCCAATCCCTGGGATGCCGGCACGGCGCGGCTACTCTCCGCCATGGGTTTCGAGGCCCTGGCCACGACCAGTGCCGGCTACGCCTTCTCGGTGGGCCGTCGCGATTCCTTCGCCGGCCTGACGCGGGCAGAGCTGATGGACAACGCCCGCGCCATCGTCGAGGCGACGGACCTGCCGGTCTCCGGCGATCTGGAGGACGGTTTCGGCGCCGCGCCGGAGAGCTGTGCTCGCACGATCGAGCTGGCCGTGGAGAGCGGGCTCGTCGGCGGGTCCATCGAGGACGCGACCGGCGATCCGGAAGCCCCGATCTATCCCTTCGCGCAAGCCGTCGAGCGGATCGCCGCAGCGGCCGAGGCGGCGCGGGAGCGGCCCTTCCTGCTGACCGGCCGGGCCGAAAACTTCCTGTGGGGGCGGCCGGATCTGGATGACACGATCCGCCGGCTGCAGGCCTTCTCGGACGCCGGCGCCGCCGTGCTCTACGCGCCGGGGCTGCCCGATCTGGAGGCGATTCGACGGGTCTGTTCGGAGGTGGACAAGCCGGTGAATGTCGTGATGGGCCTTAAGGGCAAGGCCCTGTCGGTCGCGGAGCTGGCCGAGGCCGGCGTCAAGCGGATCAGCGTCGGCGGTTCCTTCGCCCGCGCGGCCCTCGCCGCGATGGTCCGGGCCGCCGAGGAAGTGCGGGACGCGGGAACCTTCTCCTATGCCGACAAGGCTCTGGCCGATGCCGAGCTCGCCGGCCTGATGCTGCAGGAGAAGCGCCGCTAGAGAGTGCTGACAGTGAGTCCGCAGCGTGCTACTCCCGCGCCGGTTTTTGGGGCGGCGGCCTTTCGCCCTGTCCGTGGCGCGAGATCTCCTTTTATGACGACTGTTTTTCTGATCGTGGGCAACACCGGTGCGGGCAAGAGCACCTACGCCGCGCGGCTGTCGCGCGCGGAGGATGCGCATGTCTTTGCGATCGACGAGTGGATGAAGACACTGTTTCTGGCCGACCAGCCCGATCCCCCGAGCTACGAGTGGGCCCTGGAGCGTGTCGAGCGCGTCGAGGTTCAGATCCTGCGCGAGGCCCTGCGTCTCCTGGAGAGGGGGGTGAAGGTCATCCTGGATCTCGGGTTCTTTCAGAAGGTTCAGAGGATGCGGGTCCTCGAGTTCTTTTCCAGTCATGGCCAGACGGCGGCCCTTCACTACCTGGACGTCGACAAGGAAACCCGCTGGCAAAGGGTGAACCACCGCAACACCCGACGGACCGAGACCTATCAGTTCGAAGTGTCGCGCGAGATTTTCGAGTTCTGCGAGACGATTTTCGAACCCTTGGACGCGGGCGAACTGCGCGATGCGGTGGTGGTGCCGCAGGAGGCGAGGCCGCTGCCTGCTTAATGAGAGGCAAGCCGCCTCCATCACGCACGATGGCGTTTGCCCGCCGAGTCCGCATCGCCGGGCTCGTGGTCCTGTCCGTAGCTGCGGCCCTTGCCCAGCGACCAGTCGGTCGGCGCGTTCTCCGAGAGCGCTATCATGATGTCGTCACCGCGAAAGCCGGCCTCGACGGCGGCTGTCGCAATGTGCCGGAAGAGGGCGGCTTTCTGTGCGACGCTCCGCCCTTCCAGAAACAGGATCTCGACGATCGAGGCTTCGGCCGTTCGTGTCACGTTCGGGAAGGTCGGGTCGAGGATCATCCGGTCCGCTTCGAAGACGGTGATGAGCTGAAACCGATCCTTCGGCGGCACATCGCAGGTCGTGACCAGTCCCTCGTGCACGGCGTCCGCCAGCCGGCGCGTTTTTCGGGCCGGCAGTGCGGCAGGGACCGAGAGTCGAGCGAGTGGCATGGGAGGTCCTTTCGAGGCTGCAAGAGACGGGCCCCCTCAGTATTATGGACTGAATTGGCGAAAAACCGCTGATTCGATAGTCTGTCTTGCTGGGTTGTCACGAATGAAACAGCCGCTCGTGCCCGAGATCGCGATTTTCGTCCGCACCCTGGAGCTTGGCAGCTTCGCGGCCGTCGCCAAGGAGTCGGGCTTCACCTCGTCCGGCATCTCCCGTGCGATCTCGCGACTGGAAGACAGTCTCGGCGTGAAGCTGCTGCATCGCTCCACCCGGCGGCTGGCGCTGACGCCCGAGGGCGAGACCTTCGCGGGCTATGCCAGACAGGTTCTGGCTGTCGTCGAGGCCGCCGAAGCGGACGTCTCGAAGGTCATGGGCCGTCCGCGCGGACAGCTGCGTGTCAACTGCGGCACCGCCTTCGCCCGTCACAAGCTCGCACCGCTTCTCCCGCTCTTTCTGGAGCGCAATCCGGAGGTGACGGTCGATATCTCCGTCAGCGACCGGCGGATCGACCCGGTTGCCGAACAGACCGACGTCACGGTGCGCGTCGGCGCCTTGGCGGACAGCGATCTCATCGCGATCCGGCTAGGAACCGTGAAGCGGGTAATCGCCGCCAGTCCGGGATACCTGGCGGCCCGCGGAACGCCACGGAGCCCCCAAGAGCTGTTGAACCACGACTGCCTGCTGCTCACGGGATTCGCCCGACAGGCACAGTGGCCGTTTTATGAGAGCCGTCGCCGGGTCGAGGTCGCCGTCAAGGGAACCGTCACGTCGGACAGCGCCGATGCCTTGCTGGAGGCGGCAATCGCCGGTGTCGGGATCATCCGGCTCGGCGACTTCCTGGGCACAGAAGCCCTGGCATCGGGAAAGCTGGTTCCCCTGCTCGCGGAGTCGCACGATGAAGACCCGCAAGCGATAACCGCCCTGGTGCCGCCAGGACGGCTGTCCATTCCGCGCGTCCGGGCGTTTGTCGACTTTCTCAAGAACCACGCCGCGCGCGGAGGTGGCGGGCGGGCGCAAAGCCCGCCACACAGAGAAAGTTAGGCAGGGGCCTAAATATCTTGCAAGTGACGAGGCGGTTTGATAACTTAGGTAAATGCCTAACCAAGAAGCCGCTCTCGATACCATCTTTCGCGCCCTGGCCGATCCGACGCGCCGGGCCGTGATCGCGAGGCTGGGGCAGGGGCCCGCCTCGGTCAGCGAACTGGCGGAACCCTTCGAGATGGCCCTGCCGTCCTTCCTGCAGCATCTGCGGGTGCTTGAGGAAAGCGGCCTGGTACGCTCGAAGAAGGCCGGGCGTGTGCGGACCTGCGAGATCACGCCGGAGGAGCTGGCACGCGCCGAGAGCTGGATGGCGGAGCAGCGGGCGCTGTGGGAAAGCCGGCTCGATCGTCTCGACACCTACCTGCAGGGGCTGCAGGCCGGGGACGAGTCGTGACAGCGACGAAGGGGAGCGACGCAAGCAGAAGCACCGTTACTGTCGAGGGATGTAGGGGGTGTGCCGGAGACAGCGATACTGAGACAGCGACACGGAAATTGAGATTCTAGCGAGTGGGTGAGACGTCGGCGGGGCTGAAAGGCGAGAGGGAGGACGCTATGGAAGAAACAGAGCATGCAACCGCCGCTTCGGCACGAGACGAAGCGGAGCTGCGCCGCATTCTGGCGGACCAGGCCGAGGCGTTGCGGCGGAAGGACGTCGAGGCTCTGGTCGGACATCACGCGCCGACGGTGCTGGTCAGCGACCTGGCGCCGCCGCTGACGCATCGCGGCATCGACCGGGCCGCGCTGACGGCCTGGCTGGACACCTGGAACGGCCCCATCGCTCTCGACCAGCGGGAGCTGAGCTTCACCCTCGGCGAGTCTCTCGCCTTTGCCACCAGCCTCAACCGCATCAGCGGCCGCAAACGGGATGGCGAGGATGTGGATCTATGGTTCCGCGCGACCGTCTGCTTCGAGAAACGCGAGGGGCGGTGGCGGGTTGTTCACGAACATAGCTCCGTCCCCTTCTACATGGACGGGAGCTTTCGGGCCGCCGTCGATCTGACGCCGGCCGACGCGATAGCGTCCAGTTTGGCGACGTCCGATCTCGCGGCCGCCAACCGGGGGGCAAGCGCATGACACGGATCTCAGCCGTTTCTCCGGCCCTCTCTGGCCGGAAGGAGCAGAGGCCGGCGCCGGAAAGCCCGGCGTCCCTGAACGCCGAAACCGATCTGGTGGTCACGCGGCTTCTGGCGGCACCGCCGGCTCTGGTCTGGCGTGCCTGGACCGAGCCCGAGCGGGTCACGGCCTGGTGGGGGCCGCAGGGCTGCACGGTCAGCGACTGCGAGATCGAGCTGCGGGTGGGCGGCATCTTTCGCCTCAAGCTGCTGACGCCCGACGGGACGATCCACCCTTGCGAGGGGATCTTCCGCGAGGTCGAAGCACCCAAGCGTCTGGTGCTGGAGGGCATGGCGACGACAGGCGCGGCCGGCGACGGCAGCGCTTGCGGCGCCGGTTTGCCGCCGGGCGCCGTCGTCACCCTTCTGCTCCAAGCGGCGGGAGACCAGACCCGGCTGACCTTGCATACGCGCTTCCCGAGCGCGGCCGCCCGGCGGGCCGCCGAGGCGAGCGGTTACAAGGAGGGCTGGCCCCAGTGCTTCGATCGTCTGGCGGAGGAGATTGCACGATGACCTATGTGGACGGTTTCGTGCTCGCCGTGCCAACGGCGAAGCGCGCGGACTACGAGAGGGTCGCGGAGGCTGCAGCGGTCGTGTTCAAGGAGCACGGTGCGCTGAGCCTGGTGGAATGCTGGGGCGACGACGTTCCCGATGGCAAGGTCACCTCTTTTCCCATGGCCGTGAAGTGCAGGGACGACGAAACGGTGGTCTTCGCCTGGATCACTTGGCCCTCGCGCGAGGCACGCGATGCCGGCAACGAGAAGGTGATGGCCGACCCGCGCCTGCAGTGCGCGATGAGCGACATGCCCTTCGACGGGAAGCGGATGATCTTCGGCGGCTTCCAAACCATCGTCGAGCGCTGAGGGACCGTTAGGACCCGACAGTGCATGTCGGGACCGCCAGGCGGTCCCGCCTCGGGCCTGCAGCCTGCTCTCGTCATAGGATGAGCGTGCGATCCACGTCGCAGGCGGAAGCGAAGCGCTTCTACCTGAGACGATCGCGCTCTAGCTGCGGCGCGCGATGATCCGCAGCTCGACCAGGGCGCCCTCGGTGATCAGCTCGCTGACGCCGATGGCGCTCCAGGCGGGGTAGGGAGCCGCGACGTAGCGGTCCTTGACGCGCAGGAAAGCCGCCAGGTGCCGCCGTAGCTCCACATGATAGCTGGTCAGTTCGACCACATCGCCGAAGCCGAGGCCGGCCGCCGCGAGATGCGCCTGCAGAAAGTCGAAAGCGTCGCGGAACTGGGCTTCCGGCTCCGCCGCCAGCGAGCCGTCGGGGCGCGTGCCGGTGACGCCGGAGAAAAACAGGAAGTCGCCGGTGTCGAGCACAGGCGAGAAATGCCACGCGCTTTCGTAGTGCGCGAAGGCCGGGGCGGAAAGCGTCTTCTTCACGGGTCGGTCCTCTTCGAAAGGCTGGGCGCAGGCGCCCGCCGCGCTCCTCTGGCCGTCAACAGTATGGATCTTGGACGATGACCTCTGCCGTTTCCCTCTGCAACCTGGCGCTGACGCGGATCGGGGCGCAGACCATCAACGACCTGAACGAAGCCTCCTCGGCCGCGCGGCACTGCAGCGCGCTCTACGCCCCGACCCGCGACGCCCTGCTGCAGTCCCAGGCCTGGCGCTTCGCCCGCGCCCGGCAGGTGCTGGCCGAACTGACCCTCGAGCCGGGCGAGCGGTCCAAAGAGTGGGCGCACGTCTACGCGCTGCCGGTCGACTGCCTGACGCCGCTCTACATCGAACCCTCGGGCCGCGCGCTCACGGCTGCCCGGGGGGACGCGTTGCTCTGGCCGAGCGAGGCGGTGACGCCGCCGGTGACCTTGCGACCGGCGCAAGCGACGCCGGACTTCGAGGTGCGGACCGGGCGCCGCATCCTCAGCGACCAGCCCGAGGCGGCGCTGATCTACACCGCCCGCATCGACGACCCGACACGCTTCGATCCGCTGTTCGTCGAAGCCCTCTCCTGGCGTTTGGCCGCCGATCTCGCCTCCGCGCTGAAGGGCGACGTGCGCCGCCGGCAGGAGGCCTTGCGCGAAGCCTTGACCGCTACCAACGCCGCCCGGGCCGCCGATGCCGCCGCGGCAACGATCCGGGACGATCACGACGCGGCCTGGATCCGCGCGCGCTAAAGTCCTTGGCCGGACGTAGGCCGGTCAGGACGGCGGATTGACCGGTTCGGTCTCGCGCAGAGAAGGCCGCTCGCAGAGCGTCGCGTACCAGGCGGCGACCTTCGGCGCGGCCTGCCGCCAGTCCTTGTCCGGAGACCGGAAGTCCAGATAGCCGAGCAGCGCGCCGAGCGCGATCTGCGCAAGATCGACCGGCTCGCGCAGAGCCTCCGCGTGGTCCTCGAACCATTTGAGACCGCTGTCGATCTTGTCCCATTGATCGTCGATCCAGACGGACCAGCGCTGTGCCTCGGGCCGCAGCCAGGTTTCGTATCGCAGCAGCACCGCCGACTCGCACATGCCCTGTGCCAGGGCGTGGCCGGTCAGAACCTGCCAGCGGTGCGCGCCGTCCCGGGGAATCAGCCGCCCGCCGCCCGCGCGGTCGTCCAGGTACTCGCAGATCACGGTGGAATCGTACAGCACCGCCCCGCTCTCGATGGCGAGCGCCGGAATGCGCCGCAGGGGGTTGGCCTCGCGCGCGTAGTCGGCGTTCGGCTTGCCCGGGACAACGGCGGTCGGAACCAGCTCGATCTCCTTGTCCAGGCCGAGTTCAATCGCCGCGATCCGGACCTTGCGAACGAAGGGTGAGCTGGGGCCGAAGTAGAGTTTCATCGCCATTGTCTGTCGTTTCCATCTGGTTCGGGCCGCGCGCCGCGAGAGGCGAGGCGGCGGCGGAAGGTGGGCCGCAGGTCGGGTTATCCCACCGAATCGACCTCGCGACAAACCTGCAAGGCCGTCCGGAAGCTGACGTGCCGTCGCAACACCTATTCACCCTGGAACGAGATCTTCGCGGTCATGCTGAAAGCCCTGCAACCCTCCTTCGCCGGCGGCGAGATCGCGCCCGATCTGTTGGCGCGGGTCGATACCGCCAAGTGGCAGGTCGGTGTCGCCCGTGCGCTGAACGTTTTCGTACGGCCCTACGGCGGGCTCTCGACCCGGCCCGGCCTGCGATTCGTCGCGGAGGTCAAGAACTCGGCGGCGGCAACGCGGCTGATCCCCTTCCAGTTCAACACCGAGCAGACCTATGCGCTGGAGTTCGGCGGCGGCTACATCCGCTTCCACCGGGATACCGGGCAGATCGTGGAGGGGGAGCAAAACATCTCTGGCGCGACGCGGACCGATCCGGTCGTCGTCTCGGCCAACGGCCACGGCTACAGCAATGGAGATGAAGTCTTCGTTTCCGGCGTTCAGGGGATGACCGAGCTGAACGGCCGAAACTTCCGAGTTGCCGCCGCGGCCGCGAACAGCTTCCGCCTGCAGGGACTCGACGGAACCGGCGTCGACGGCACGGGCTACGGCGCCTACAGCTCGGGCGGCACGGCGCAGCGGGTCTACGAGATCGCGTCCCCCTATGCTGCGGACGAGGTGTTCGACATCGGCTACGTCCAGTCGAACGACGTGATCTACCTTTGCCACAAGAACCACGCGGTCAGAAAGCTAAGCCGTACCGGGGACACGGCCTGGACCCTGACCGAGGTGACTTTCCAGCCGAGCATCAACCGGCCGACGGGGATCAGCGCGACCGCCCCCGCCGGTCCGGGGAGCGGCCAAACCTACCGCTATCGGGTGTCCGCCATCTCGGCCGACACGGGCGAAGAGTCTCTGCCGACGTCCGGCATCGCGCAGGTCAACAACGATCTGACGGTGGCGGGTGCCGAGAACAGAATCACGTGGAACGCTGTGGCCGGCGCTTCGCGCTACATCGTCTACAAGGATGAGAACGGGGTTTACGGCTACATCGGCGCGGCGATCGGCACGACCTTCACCGACCGCAACATCGACCCCGATACCTCCGACACCCCGCAAACCGGACGCAACCCCTTCAACGCGGCGGGCAAGTATCCCTCGGTCGCGATGATCCATCAGGAGCGCCTGGGTTTCGGTCAGACGACCAACAAGCCCCAGACCGTCTGGTTCTCGTCCAGTGCGAACTTCGAGAACTTCAACGTCTCGGAGCCGACCAAGGACGACGACGCCATCGAAATCACGCTGGCCGCGCGGCAGGTCAACGAGATCCGCGCCATGACGTCCCTGGAAGATCTCATCATCTTCACCTCGGGCGCCGAGTGGCGCCTGAACGCGCCGAACGACGGGGTACTGACCCCGAGCAACCGCGCCGCCCGCGCCCAGACCTATCATGGTGCCTCCAAGGTCCCGCCCGTTGTGATCGGCAACACGGTGCTCTTCATTCAGGACAAGGGCTCGGTAGTGCGCGACCTGGCCTACAGCTTCGAGAGCGACGGCTACCGCGGCAACGACCTGACGATCTTCGCGCCGCACCTGTTCCGCAACCGCATGCTGGTGGACTGGTGCTACGCCCAGGCGCCCTACAAGCTGGTGCAGGCTGTGCGGGACGACGGCGCCCTGCTGACCCTGGCCTACCTGCTGGAGCATCAGGTCTGGGGCTGGTCGAGCTACGAGACGGTGGGGAAATTCAGATCCGTCTGCTCGATCAGCGAAGGCAACGCGGACGCGGTCTACTGCATCGTGGAGCGGGAGGTGAACGGCCGCAGCGTCCAGTATGTCGAGCGCTTCGACGACCGCGATTTCGAGACCATCGAGGATGCCGTCTGCGTGGACAGCGCGCTGTCCTACGAGGGCGCCCCGGTGACGGAGCTGGGCGGGCTCTGGCACCTGGAGGGCGAGACCGTCGTGGCGCTTGCGGACGGCAACGTCGTCAAGAACCTGACCGTTCGGAACGGCGGGATCACCCTGCCCAACGCGGCCGGCAAGGCGCACGTCGGCCTGCCCTATACCTGCGATATCCAGACGCTGCCGCTGGACCTCGGCAATCTGGGAGAGATCGGCACGGTGATGGGCCGGCAAAAGCGCATCGGCGCCCTGACCCTGCGGGTTCAGGAGGCGCGCGGCATTTTCGCCGGCCCGTCCTTCGACAAGCTGGACGAATGGAAGCAGCGCTCGACCGAGGCCTACGGGCAGGCGATCCGTCTCTTCACCGGCGACGTGTCGATGGACGTGCCGCCGGAGTGGAACGATCAGGGCATCGTCTGCATCCGTCAGGCCGATCCGCTGCCGCTGACCCTGCTGGCCATCGCGCCGGACGTGGACGTCGGCGGATGACCCTAGGGACCGGGATCGGAGTCGAGATCCGCGCGGCGCGCGCCTGCGACGCAGCGGCGCTGGCGCCGTACCTGCGCCCGGCGGATCGGCGCGAGGTCATGGCCTCCCACGGGCATCGCCCGCTGTCGGCTCTGACTCTGAGCCTGCGGCACTCCGACGTGGCCTGGGCGGGCTTGATCGAGGGCGAGGTTCTGGCGCTCTGGGGGGCGGGTACCACGGCCTTGCTGGGGCGCCAGGGCGCACCCTGGCTGCTGGCCGGGCGCGGTCTGGAGCGCCACAAGCGCCTCTTCCTGCAGCTCAGCCGCGCGCAGCTGATGCAGCTGCAGGAACGCTACGACTACCTGGAGAACTGGGTCGACGCGCGCAATGCCCGCTCGATCCGCTGGCTGCGCTGGCTCGGCTTCACCCTGGAGCCGGCGGCGCCCTACGGCCGCTTCGGCCGCCCCTTCCACCGTTTCTGGATGAGAACCGACGGGATGAACAAGCATGTCTGATTCGGGTTTCGCGACCGCCCCGGCGGTCGAAGAGGAGACGGCTGGGATAGCGACATCGCCCGGCTCGGCGGGCGACGGCGCGCTGCCGGACGACCTTCGCGCAGTCGCAGCGGCCTCGGCCGCCGTGGATGCCGGACCCGGTGACAGTCCGAGCGACGGCCCGGCGACCGATCCGAGCGTCGCTCCGGACAGGCCGGAGGCGCCGCAATCCGATCCGGAGTGGGAGGCGGCGCTGGCCCGGGCGCGCTGGATCGCGCGTTTGGGACGGCGCCGGCGGCGGCCGGACGGCACGCGGGAGGATTGGCTGGAGCCGGCGCAGCGCGCCGAGCTGGAGCGGCGCGGGCGTGTGCGCCTGGCGTTCTACAAGGCGGCCGACGCCTTCGCCGCGCGGGAAGGCCGCGCGCCGGACAAGCCTGAACAGCGCCGGCTGCTCGCGCAAGTGCTCACCGAGGAAGATGCGCCGCGGGGATGGGGGCAGCGGCGCTTGTTCGGACCGGCGGAGACGAGGCAACAAGCCGGTTGCGCTTAGACGCAAACCTCGCGAAAGCTCCAAAGTCCGTGCGGCCAATCCCTGCCGCAACGCTGGAGGGCACCGATGGACATGACAGGTCGCTGATCGCTGGTTCTCGTGACGCTTCAAACTCCGACGGTCAGAGAAGAAGAGTCGGATCGACGGGTGGTCATGCAGGTACGCGTCGGCGCAGATATCTGGAAAGGAGAGGGGCGGAACATCTGGATCAAATTGAAATAAGTCTGCGAGAGCGGGCGCAGTCCTGGCGTACACAAGGGCGAGTTCGTGCGGCTTACTTGCTTGAGAAATTTCTTGATGGGGATGATTCGCCTGTATTTCTGTCGCGAGAAGAAGCGCGTGAGATCGAATTTGTCCGAATTGGGGAGGCGGAGAACAACCGTCGCTTTATCGAAGACACATTTACCGGAAAGACTAAAAATCCAAAGATAACGGAATGCCTGCGCACGCTGCAGGATGGTGAGCAGTGTAATATTAAGGATCACTATGACTATGAGCGCAACAAACTGAATTCACTTGGTCTCGGACTTTTCCGTTACACCCAAGAGCAGGTACCGGGAGTAGAGCGGGCCGAGGAGTTGGACGAGATACTTTCGTTCGGTTCCCACGAAGTAAAGTCGAAGATTGTCTTCACGGCAAGGCGGACCGGCGACGTGATTCGAATCAAAGGCGTCATTACGCATAGTGCATCGGACAACTACAATTTTGAGAAAGGTACGCCGGGTCATCTGGTCGGTGCCCGTCGTTTGCAGGAGGTTGGTCGGGCCTCACCCTACACGATTGAGAGTGTTTGGTATCAGGAAGTGGAAGGTCAAGTGACTATTCGTCGTACCAAAGTAGGAATTACGCCGGGTAGCAGGATCTACGAGCACGTTCTTGAAAATCCGCAGTTTCGTGTTCGGGATATGGAGAGACAAGGAAAGGCGGATGAATGAAGGCCGAGCAAGTGTTACACTAATCACCATTTTGCGCCGATACCAGCGCAAACTTTTAGTAGTGTTCATGCTCGGCATCCTCGCTCTCGCGCTTGTCTCTTTCAAACCCTTCCGGCCGAATTGCGGGCTTCCAGATTACACCTTCGGTCCCGAGTTGAGTGTCGATTTCTTTCAAGAGTTTTTACTGCAGATGCATTTCTTGCGTGATCGAGAGGGTTACAGTTGGACAGGCATATTTCTGATTAAGGACGAGCGCCTATACCTGCTGCCTTGGGAGCGCGATACCGCACTGACGGCGGAGGCAACTCGCTTGGCCGCTCTGAGCATCATCGACCAGTGGTCTCATAGGCTGGCGGACTCGGAACGCCTGACGACACGGCAATACTTCAATCGGGCCGCCGCGATAGCCTCAGGCGCAGAGGGCGATGAAAGCCTGGGTCATGTCTGGTGCGAAAATCTCGAAACGATGGTGATCCTGGAGCTGGATTAGTGCAGTGAGCGCGAGTTCACCCGCCTAGGAGCGCCGTCGTAAGCGATCAGCGATTTTCGGACGTGGGTGCGCGCTGAAAAATCGAACGTTTCTCTCATTTGAGAGGTGGGGTACGAGCAGTGGAGAGAAGACCGACGTGCCGCCGACCTGCGCTTCTTTGGATTGGCCTGCCGGTCCTTGCAGTTGCTGCCGCTGTCATGGTCTGGCCCTTCCACGCTTCCTGCTCAGTCAATGGTCCTTGGTTCGGACCGGATCTTCGGGCGGAGCATCGGGTCCATATGCTTGCGGAGATGCTGGCATTGTCGCAAGACGACCGGTATGGGTTGAGGACCGATGACCGGCGTCTTTGGTCTTGGTCCGGTTTGGCTCTTTCCATCGGCGACCGTCTGTATTTGCTGCCGTGGGAACGCCAGACGGATCTCACGCGCAATTCTGCCCGCAGAGTGGTTCGCTCCGTGGCTTATCGCTGGGTGAACCATGACGGCCTGACGCAAGGGCCGGTGTACGACTTCTACCAAGCCGTGCGCGCGCCGTGGAGTAACTCCAGGGCACTTCACTGTGCTGCCATGGAAGTTGTCACGACACCCGGCGTGCCGCGCACAGGTTTCGCCCGAGACACGGCGCTGTCTGATGGGGCGTAGGTCCTTGATGAATTGCCGGATCATGCGGCTTGTTCTTCAGAGTATCGCTCTATCGATCTTCCTCGGTTTCTCGGGCGTTCTCTTTTGGCTTGCCGTAGGAGAGGTCGACGAAGACATCTGCGGTCTGCGCACGGATGGCGGCGGCCTCTACGTCCTCGACGACTATGGCCCGAATGTGCGGTGCGATCTCCGTATCGACATGGTTCTCCTGGGAACTGCGTTCTACGCTGTCATGCTGTTCCCCTTCACGCTGTTTCTGGTCTTCGTTCTCCGCGCTGCGCTGGAGTCAGTCAGGGCGGCGATCGAGAGGCGGCGGCGGAGCGAGGAGCTGTAGGTCAGCCCGGCGGATTGGCGCGGGGTCATGGCCTCTCACGGGCATCGGCCGCTGCCGGCTCTGACTCTGAGCCTTCGGCGCTCCGACGTCGCCTGGCCGGGCGCGGTCTGGAGCGCCACAAGCGGCTCTTTCCGCAGCTTAGCCGTGCGCGGTTGACGCAGCTGCAGGCACAGTACGACCACCTGGAGAACTAGGCCGGCGCGCACAACACCCGCTCGACTCGCTGACTGCGCTGGCTCGGCTTTACCCTGGAGCTGGCGGCGCCCTACGGCCGCTTCGGCCGCCCCTTTACCGTCTCAAAACGAGAACCGACAGGATGCAGACCCATGCGTGACCGCCATGTGTGAACTGGGCTTCATGATCGCCTCGACGGCCGCCGCCCTGGGAAGCGCCGCCCTGCAGATGCAGGCGCAGAGCCAGCAGGCGGCGGCTCAGCGCGCCTCCCTCGACTATCAGCGCCAGGTCTCGGAGAACAACGCCCGGACCTCCGAAGCGCTGGCGGAGGATGCGCGCCAGCGCGGCCGTGCGCAGGAGCGGGCGCAACGCTTGCAAACCCAGCAGCTGCTGGGCCGGCAGCGCGCCGTGCTGGGCGCCACCGGACTGCAGGCGGACAGCGGTTCCGCCCTGGGCATCCTGGGCGACACGGCGGCACTGGGCGAACTCGATGCCCTGCAGATCCGCGACAACGCCGCGCGGGAAGCCTGGCGGTTCCAGGTGCAGGCCTCCAACGATCAGGCTCAGGCGGGTCTCCTCGGACTGGAGGCCGGCAACGTTCAGGGGGCCTCTCCGGCGCCTCTGCTGAGCGCACTCGGGACCGTCTCGAACCGTTGGCACGGCTACGGCCGCGACAATGGTTGGTGGCAGCCGGCATGACGGAGAGACGGAGGCAGTCGGTTGGCGCTTCACTCGACCCTGCCGCTTCGCCGCCGGTGGACGCCGAGACGACTCTGGAACCGGTGACGCCGCTTGATGCAGCGGTCGGCGGCGGACTACCGGGTGAGTTTCGCGCGACGGCAGCGACGTCGGCCGGAGTCGGCGCCGGTCCGAGTAAAGGCCTGGCGGCCGCCTCGGTTGCCGCCCCGGTGAGGCCTACGACGCCTCGGCCGGATCCGGAGTGGGAGGCAGCACTGGCCCGGGCGCGCTGGATCGCGCGTCTGGGCGTGCGCAGGCGGCGTCCCGACGGCACGCGCGAAGACTGGCTGGAGCCGGCGCAGCGCGCCGAGCTGGAGCGGCGCGGGCGCCTGCGCCTGGCGTTCTATAAGGCGGCCGACGCCTTTGCCGCGCGCGAGGGCCGCGCGCCGGACAAGTCCGAACAGCGCTGGCTGCTCGCGCAGTCGCTGGCCGAGGAAGATGCGCCGCAGGGCCGGAGTGCGGCAGCGTTTTTCGTCCAAGGCGATTCTGAACAGGCTCGGAGCTACTTTCGCCACACAGCGGTAGCCGAGCTTGGGGAACCCGAGGACAAGCTGCTCCCCGACGTACTGTCGGCTAATGCCGCTCTCCTGCGCACAGGTTCCACGCCGTCAAACCTCGCAGATGCGCCGACGGCTACCGCGCCTCCTAAGAGCATCCGAGCTTCTGAGACCGCTAGTGGCCTTAAAACGAGGCGGCCATACCTTGGCGTTTCGCCCGCAGTTGCGGACGATCAGCCACTGCATATAAACGAGGATATTGATCATAGCGTCTCAGTAGATGATCGACGCGCCGATAGAGAGAACGACGGCAGAGCAGAGATACCCGATGCGTCGATGTCGCCCCTACCAGAGGTCGATGAGAGTCGACAAGAATCAATTCTTTCTGTTGATTCCATTGAGCTTGTGAGTTTTCAGGCTGCCCTTAGAGATCTTGACTTTGACGAGAATGGAGCCAGCACCGCATTTGATCTTATTGAGCTTATCGGTCTCCGGCGGGCTTGGTCAGCCCGCAACAGCGGCAAAGACACACTGTCTCATGTTGAGACTCGTTTCGAGGAAGAGATTGCTAGAGCGGTAGAGCACCGATTACCTGCAAGACGCATTGATGCTTATCGGCATGCCTATTGGAGTTTCGTGATGACCAGAGATCTCGGAGCTGAGATCGCGAAAGAGGTTGGCGATACCCACGAGCGACGAGAGAGAAACCCCGATAGAGATTTGCTGATGGATCTATACAACAATCGAGTTGGGCGAGAGCTAGCGCTCGACCCGCGGAACGCTGGTCGAACGGCCGATGAAGTTGTCGGTGAGGCGCTCGAGGCAGGGTTGTTAAGAACATTCCCGTTTGACGTGTATTACGGGCCTGAGTAGATTGGTCTGACGATGCGGGCCGATATCCTGAAAGTCAGATCATGAGACTCAGAGTTCTTGCTCTCGGCTTCTTTCTCTTGCCCGCAGCCGGCGTTTTTGCGCTGGCGGCCACCAGCGTCTCTCTCTCCTGCTATACCTACCGCTATACCGTGGTGAACCTGACGAGAGGCGACATTGAACTCTCCCTCATCAACCTCGGCCATGAACGTGCGCGCTTTTCCGTTCCTTACGTCGCGGGTGTCTTTGAGTTGGACGCACCGTTGTTCGGACATTTCAGAGCTGTTGCTCGTCTTTCGAACGGCGAGACCGTCAGCTTGGAGGCGGAGCAGTACATTTTTGTCGAAGACGGCATGAAGGCCCTTTCGCGGGTCGAGGAGTTGGTCGTTGTCGTGACAGAGGATGAAATCCTCCTCCGGCAGCTTCGTTCGGGCCCCTTTACCGATGGGGAGAAGAGTTTTCTGGACTCGCTCAAGGAAGAGAACTCCTTGTGGAGCGACCTGCAGAAAGCTGTGCGTTGCGCGGACAAAAGGGTGTTTGAGGCTGCTTCTGCGCTTTAGAGCAGGACCGCCTGAGGTGGACGCGCCTCGGCGATCCCACCTCGGGCGCGAACTCTTCGCTCTTCATGGGGTAAGAGCGCGCTTTCGTTTGATCGAAGCCAAGCCGTTTCCGCTAAAGCAGGATCGTGCCCTCTTGCCCAGTCGTCGGCGGCTCCGGAGTTGAAGGGAGATTCCCTTCGCACCCGGGCGCCTCGTACCCGCCCAATGCCGGCGGGTCGCAGTTCTCTCTAAAGCTTTCCGGCACATCCGAATTCCCGACCGCGGCGTCGCCCAGGCGCCGGGACCGCTTGGCTTTTGTCCGGCGCTTCCGGCGCAGCTCGGCGCAACGCACTTACCATGAAGGGGCCAGACCATGGTCGATGCCAAGACGTTGTATCCGACGACCCCGGTTCGCCGGCCGGCCGACACCGGCCCCGGTGAATACGACGAAAGGACGGGGCCGCTGGACCTGGCGGTTCGGGGCTTCAGGGACGATCGCGCCGGTGCGGCTCTGTCTCTGGCCGGAATGGCTGGCGAAGACGCCGGCGTTTCGGAGGCGCCGGGGCGGGGCGCCGGGGCGGCCGCCGAGGAAACCGTTCGGCCGGCAGCCGCCGAGACGTCGCTGGAACCGGCTGGCGAGACGGCGGAGCTGACGCCGGAGCAGCGCACGGCGCTGTTCTATACGGCGCCCGACGGACCCGTGGCGACGGCGGGACAGGTCGCGCTGGGGCTCTCCGGCTTCTTCGACGGGCTGCAGGCTAATCTGTCCGACGCGCCGGAGCGCCACGCGCAGGCCGCCGAGGCCGAACGCGCGCTGCCGGCGGCCCTGAGCGAGGCCGGTCTGGCCGCCGCGGACCTGCGCGAGCTGACCGGCCTGATCGACGGCTACCTGGGTGAGAGCGGCGAGGCCGGGGAGAGGCAAGGACAGGCCGAGGAACGGGACAAGAGACAGGCGCGAGACTACGCCCGCGCCGAGGCGAAGCTGCGCGAGACCTTCGGGCCGCGCGCCGGGCCGCTGCTCGCCGATGCCCGTGCCGCCGTGGCGCTGGTCGAGCGCAGGAGCCCCGGCTTCAAGGCCTGGTTGGACGCGACCGGCGCCGGCAACGACCCGCGCATCCTGCGCGCCGCCATCCGCGCCGGCCGGCGCCTGCGTCGGGAGGGCCGGCTCTAGTGCGTGTACCTCGCGTTACCGAACAGCAGGTCGCGATCGCGCCGCTGCCCAACGCGCGCCAGCGGCTCAGCGTCTCGGCCGACACCTTCGGCGCCCAGCGCGCCCGGCGTCTGTCCCAGGGCGCGGAGGGGTTGGCCGACGCCGCCGATGGGCTCGCCCGCGTGGCCTTCGAACGTCAGGCGGAGCGGATCGAGGCCGAGGCCGAGGAGGCCTTAGCCCGCTGGCAGATCGCGGCGACCGACACCCTGGCCGGCTATCGCAGTCTGCAGGGCGGGGACGCGGTCGGCGCCTACGAGGCGGCGCGGGCGGAGCTGGACGGCCTGCAGGCCCGGATCGGCCGCGAGCTTGGCGGCGGATCCGGAAAGGGATCTGGCCGGGACGGTGGCGGGCAAGGGGGCCGGGAACGGGGCCGGGGTCGGGCCCATGCGCTCTACGCGCAGCAGGTCGCCAACCGGCTGCCGTCCTTCGCGGCCGGTCTGGAGCGGCACCGCGACGCCCAGTCCCGTGTCTACCGGACCGCGGCGATGGAGGCCCGTCTGCAGTCTGCGGTCGCCGCCGGTCTGGCCGATCCTTCGCTGGGTCCGGGGGCCGAGCTGGAGATCCACGCCCTCGCCCGGCAGCAGGGCGAGACGCTGGGCCTGCCGCCCGAGACGGTGGAGGCCATCGCGCTCGGCCATATCTCCCAGATCCACCTCGGCAGGCTGGAGGGCCTGCTGGCCGAGGGGCGCGGCGCGGAGGCGCGCGTCTACCTGAAGACCTACGGGCCGGGGATGACCGCCGCCGAGCGGCTGCGGCTCGACACCAAGACAAAAGCGGTCGAGCGCACCGCCGAGGTTAAGGCGCTCTACCAGGCTATCGTCAGCGGCGGCCAGCTGCCCGCCTCCGCCAGAGAGCGGGGGGCGGCGGCGGACGAGGGTGCCGAGACGGGCCAGGGCCGTGGCAGCGATCCCGGCGCGTCGCCCGCCGATCCCGGACCGGATGGTGTGACGCCCCAGGCGGTGCCTGCGCCCCCTCTCAGTCCCCCGACTACCTTCGGCCCCCGTGCGACGGCCGCCGAGGCGAAGGCAGCCGCGCAGGCGGAGCTTCTGGCCGGCAGTCCGCAGGCGGCGGCGCATCGGCTTCACCTGGAGCGGATGGAGCGTCTGGCTGAGGTGGAGACCGAGGACCCGCGTGTCCTCGCCGGTGCGGCGGACGAGCTGACGGCCGCCTATGAACGCGAGACGGCGACACTGCAGGCGGACAAGGCGACGGCGCAGGCGGAGATCGCACGGAGCCTGCGCGCCGGCACGGCCACGCCCGCGAGCCTGCCGCCGGACTTGGCGGCGGTGCTGAGCGAGGAGGAACGCGACGAACTGGATGACTGGTGGCGGACCGGCCTGAGGGTCGAACCCGACGCGGCGCTGTTCGAGGCCCTGCACGAGCTGTTTCCCGCCTTCCCGGACGAGGTCTCCCTGGAGGCCCCATCGATCGCCCGGCACCTGAGCCAGGAGCAGCACTCCCTCGTGCGGCGCCGGCAGGCGGAGACCCGCACGCCGGGCGCCCCCGGTGCCGCAGAGGTCTCAGCCACCCCGACGGCCGGACCGATGGAGGGAGAGAGCGGTTCGGTCCGTCTGGATGACCTCGATGGGACGTTTGAGGAAGTGAACGGTCGCCCTCAAAACGGCAGCTCAAATGCGCAGAATAGCCCTGATTCTGATCTTGGCGGTGATGAAACGCGTTCCCCTACAGAGTTTACGAGCGTTCAACTGCCGGAACAACAAAGCGATATCGATGTCAATACATCTCGAGAGAACGAAGACCCTGGCCAAAGCCTGTCATCAAATGATGGCGTTCTACCTGCCGAAGTCGCAGCGGCGCTGCGCCAGGGGTTGGGTGACGAGATCTTTGAGCAGCTAGTGTCGACGCTTGATGTTATGGACATGGCTGACCGTATGGGATTGGATCGGGACCTTGTCGAACAAGCTGGTCCACGTGCGGTTCCTGCCATTGCCGCTACTCTGGTCTATAGTCAACTCGAGCCGCGAGATCAAAGTGTCGTATTAGGGCTTGTTCAAGACCTACGTGAAGAAGGTTACGGTAGGTTAGCCTTTGAGTTGCGCGGTCTTGTCGCGAGTCAACTTACAATTGGAGAACCTCACAACCGCTACATTGATTCTCGGCAGCCGATTCCGCTAGCAGGGCCGGAATCTCCCAAGCTTGACGCAGAAATGGAGGCTCGGCTACGCGATCTTGTAGGAGACAAGACATTTGAACAGATTTGGTACAGAGACGTCCACGGTATGGCTAGGCTGATGGATATCGACCCAAGTCTTGTTGATGCGGCTGGTGCTGAGGGTGTGGCGGCGTTAGCAGCAACCGCAGCGTTTCGCCAGATTCCGCAACGTGATAGGATTATCGTCAACCGCGCGATAGAGACGTTGCGTAGGTCTGGGCACGGCTATCTGGCATTTCAGCTACGCGGTAAAATTGGCAGCCAGAGTTCGCTCGGGAAGGAGCACAATCGCTACTCAATGACGACTGAGGAGCTGATTGCAGCCAACACATTCGATGAACGGGCGCTCGCTGTTGTAGAAGGCACGATCCCTCTGCGCTTTCTTCAACTCCCTCCTCATGTACGGGCGCCGGTTTTCGTGATTCTGGCGGTGCTTCGATACAAGCTGCGCAGCAGTATTGCAGAACGTAAGTCGATGATTGAGGAGCGCAGACGCTAGAGCGTAATCCTATTTGATGGAAGCTGTTTGGCTTCCATCAAATAGGTGAATCGCATTCACGTTCGATCACTGAAGTAGGCTTCGGGTGACCCTGATCTACGTGAACTGGTGCGCGGCGGGAAGATCGGTCTGCGGGTCGCGCGCGATCTCGCCGAACGTCTTCGCAGAACCAGCCTTGGGCGCGGGCTGAGGCAGAGAGCCAATAGGGACCACAAGCGACCTGAAGGCCAGCTACCGTCCGGCAGTGTAGCCAAGCTCGACACGCCAAATGGCGTGAAGGCTAGTGTTGATACCTTCGAAGCCATGCCCCGTCATATCGAGCGGTTGCACAAGGCCGCAGCAGATGTCGGCACTCGGCATGTCGAGGCCGTTTCGGGGCTCCTCGACGGCGGTAGGCTGAACACTCGCGCCAAGTCCGGGAAGGACATCGCCAACATCGATCATCTCGGTGGTCGCGTCGAAGCCGAGGCGGCATTTGGCAGAGCGATAGAAGAGGCCGGTGGCAAGTTATCGGACGTCCGGCCTTGGCCAAGAGGCGGCGTGGTCTGGGAGGCTCCCGACGGGACCAAGTATCGTTTATATCGGTCCGATAACAGCGGTGAGACTGTCGTGGTGGTTATACCCTCGCCACGAGCGCCAGTGCGGGACAAACAGTGGCAACTGAAGCTGCGCTACAACTCACCAACGGAACAGATAGGCAGGGAATGAAGTAAATGAGTGAGATCAGTGGTCCGTTGCAGTGGCTTGTGCCCGAGTCGGAGGCGGGGGTCGTCTGGGACCTGTTTGGAAGTATCTTTCGGGTCGTGCCACGAGATCGAGAGGTGCCTTTTGGCGGAAACCCGCCCTTCTTCACGAATCCTCATTGGGCAATTGTTGGGTTGGTCAACAACCTGGAAAGCCTTATTTATCCGCCCGAAGGTCCTGACGAAGAACGCGGTGGTTTTTACGAGCGGGACGAGCTCGGGCCACTGCTAGATATCGTCGCCAATGAGGGCGCTGAGGCCTTCTACTTCAATGAGATTTGGTTCGAGACCTCCGGTCCTGTACAGGCCTGTGCGGCCAGCCGCGCAGGTTTGCAGGCCGCTGCCGATGCGCTTCCATCCATCTCGGGTTTCGCTACGCCGACTGGCTTCGTATTCGATAACACGGGACGCTGGGGGCTCTATATCTCCGAGGACAATATCGCCCTATTAGCCGGTGAGCGGAGGCTGATGGAGCGTTATCTGCCTCAGGTCGGCGGGTTGGAGTTGCTACAGCAGCGTTTTGCTGAACGCATCGAGGGAGATGTTGACCCCAGCCAGAGCTTCTACAGGCCTTCTGTGGCTCGTCATTTCCGTCTCTGGTACGCCTATATGCGCTGGCCCTGGCCCTTCCCGATTCCGCCCTTGTAGATGCGGAGTGGCTGGCGAAGCGGGAGCGTGACGTAGCGCACCTCCCCGCTTGCTTGTGTATGCTTCGCGGCTAGCTGGTCTCTGACGCCTGTCACTTTTCTCTTTAGCTTTCCGCCCTCTAAAGTGAGAGTCCGAGGGCAGAGATAGTGAACGGAGAGAGTGAGATGGAGAAGAAACTCCAGTGGCTTGTCCCGGAAGAAGAGACGCAACCGATTTGGGAGCTTTTCGAAAGGATCTTCCGGGTTCCGGGTCCCGAAACCGAGATTCCCTTTGCTCTGGACCTGCCCTTCTTCATGAATCCGGGTTGGACGATGGTCGCACTGGTCAACAACCTCACGTCTCTCGCCGAGCCACCCTATGCGCCCGCGGAGGTGCGTGAAGGCCTTTACGCAACGCTGGAGGAGTGGGAGGAGGACCGCGAGCCCCTTGCCGAAATTGGCATTGAGATGGAGCGAGACGGCTTCTACGAACGTGACGAACTTGGCCCCATGCTGGACATCATGGCCGGAGAGGGGGCACGGACGCTTTACTTTACTGCAAGTAAGCGTCGATGGCCCGGACCGCTGCAGGCCGGCGAGGCAAGCCGCGCCGGGCTGGAGGCTGCCGTCCAGGCAATCCATGAAACTCAGAGCGGCTATGGGATCATGGGAAGTTTCGTCTTCGACGATACCGGGCGCTGGGGTCTCTACCTCGATGAGGACAACGTTGCGATCATGGCCGGAGAACCGACCTTGATGGAACGTTACATCCCCGAGGTTGGCGGAGTGGAGTTCCTGCAGCAGCGCTTCGCTGACAGAATTCGTGATGAGGTCGATCCCGAAAGCGACCTCTACTGGATCGGCTCTGCCCGCGCCTTCCGGCTTTGGTACGCTTCCATGCACTGGCCCTGGCCTTTCCCGACTCCGCCCCTGTAGCTGCGGTGTGACCGGCGAGCCGGAGCGAGACGCAGAAGACTTCCACGATTGCTTACGTTTCCTTCGCTGCTAGCTGGTCTCTGGCGCCTAGCCCTTCGTCGTGGTTGGCACGGCCTCACGACCTTACGTGGGGTGGTCTGGATCGAAATCAGGTGCGAAGCCTGTGACGTGTGTGCCTCCTGCCGAGGTGCACCTCTTGTCGTGTGCCAGCCAGGCGGTGATGCCTCGCGAGGTTTTCTTCCGTGTTTTTGAGAAAGAGATGTCATGGCTCTCGCTAAGAATGATCTGCCGCGCAACGCTCGGCAAACGTCTTCTCCTGCTCCTCGCGAGCGCGGCGCCTCGATGGCGGTCGTGAGCCGCGACAAGGATCCGGGTTCGACCGCGGAGCCCGGCCATGCTTCCGTGCGGCCCGCCGAAGCGCCCGCCCCCGATCCGATCCAAGATCCGACGGCCGTTACGGCTGCGACGGGAGCGTCGCAAATGGCCGGCGGCCCAGGTCCACGGGATCCGCAGTGGGAGGCTGCCCTGGCGCGGGCGCGCTGGGTCGCCCGTCTTGGAGTGCGTAGACGGCGCTCCGACGGCACGTATGAGGACTGGCTGGAGCCGGAGCAGCGGGTCGAACTGGAACGGCGCGGCCGTCTGCGTCTGGCGTTCTACAAGGCTGCGGATGCTTTTGCCGTGCGAGAAGGCCGCGCGCCCGACAAGCCCGAGCAGCGCCGGTTACTCGCCCGATTGATCGCCGAAGAAGACGAGGCCCGGGAGACCTGGAGCCATGCCTCTGCGGCTTTCGCCGAGGGAGAGCCGGAGCTTGCCCGAACGGTCTTGCGACGTTTCGCGGCGGATGATCCGGGTCTGTCCGAGGCGCCGCCCGAAGCGTCCTTGCAGCGCCTCGCCGCAGGCCCACGCGAGACGGAGCTTGCCGTCGGCCTCTTCGGAGATGGGGGAGCTTCCGGCTCGTCGGGTGAAGACGGCGGATCCTCCGGCGTGCCGGAACCGGATCTCGACGACCGTACAGTACCGACATCTGAAGCCGTTCCGCCCCCTGAAGACCAGGAGGCGTCCGATGGACCACAGGTTCCCAAGGACGCCGAAGCCCTTATGCGGGAGCTAGTGGGCGACGAGCTCTACGATCAGATCTGGTTCGGCCCGATCGAGACCATGGCGCGGGAGATGGATATCGATCTGGAGCTGGTGAAGAGGGCCGGTCCTGAGGGTGCCGCGGCGTTGGCAGCCGTCGCGTTGTACCGTCACTTCGAGATCAAGCTTCATCGGGACAGGGTGAACCACCTCGTCGTCGCGCTTGGCCGTCGAGGGCATAAGCAGCTGGAATCAAAGCTGCTCGCTCGACTCGCCTTTCAGAACTCGTTGGGCCCTCAGCATGAGCCCTATTCCATGACCAATCAGGAACTTCTGGAGGCCAATGAGAGCGAAGCCAAGTTTCTGCCGTACTGGGAAGCTCTCGATGCGGTTCTTGGTATAATCCCGGGAGCTTCGCTCGCCGGCAGGGCGATACCGAAGCTCTTCATTCACGGTTTCAAGAACAACATCGCCAATCGAAACCGCATCCTGAAAGAACGCGGGGTCGATGTCGGCATTGGAGGGCTTGAGCGCTGAGTTCAAGCTGTATGGTGTTCTCAATTCAGATCTAGAGGAAAGTTTACGCCTCACGTAGGCATCGCCTATGCGAGTCAGTCCAGCGTGTTTTCACTGCAAGGCCATTGCCAAGGGCGCTCGTACCAGGTGAGCCGACAGGCGACTGGCCGCCGGAGCATGTCTGCGTCCGGGACCCAGGGCTGCGGCAGAGGGTAGAGATCGACCGGTGGGTCGTCTCTGGATGAAAGTCGATCTCCAGTCGCTGGGCAGCAGCGAACTGCGCATCCGACATGACGAGCCACATGATCTGAATGGTTGCTACGGTTCCAAGCTCGCCGCGCCGCAGCCGCGACGACGCCGTAGCACGCCACCTTCAAACGATACGATACGATAAGGAGACAGGACCGCCATGACGGTTTCGACGGAGACGGCGCGCTCGGGCCCCTACGCGGGCAATGGTGTGGCCGACACCTTTGCCTACGAGTTCCGCATTCAGCGGGACGCCGATCTGCTGGTGACCCAACTCGACCAGGTCGGGGTGGAAACGGCCCTGGCGCTCGGCGCCGACTACGGCGTGACCGGAGTGGATCAGCCGGAGGGCGGCGACGTCGTCCTGGCCGCGCCGCTCCCGAGCGGTTTCCAGCTCGTCATCACCCGGGACGTGCCGGCAACCCAGGAGGTCGATCTCGAGAACCAGGGCGCCTTCTTCGCCGAGACGATCGAGCGTGCGTTCGACAAGCTGACCATGCTCGCGCAGCAGAACAAGGAGAGCGACGCCCGGACCGTGACCCTTCCGGTGGTCAGCCAGGGCGTGTCGACGCGGCTGCCGGGCGCGGTACCCGACAACGTGATCGGCTGGAACGCGGCGGCGACGGCGCTGGAAAACAAGGTGCCGAACACGGAGGCCTACATCGGCGCCGAGCGGAAGTCCTGGCTCGACACTCAGGGCCAAGCCTATTGGGCCGGCACGGCGGGGGGGACGGCCAATGCCCTGACCTTGGCGCCTTCTCCGGGCGTCATGGCCTATGCGGCCGGGCAGGTGTTCCGGTTCCTCTCCGGCGCAACCGCGAATACAGGGGCCGCCACGGTCGCGGTCTCGGGGCAGGCCGCCGTTGCCTTGCAGCTCGCCGGGTCTGGGCTTTCGGGCGGCGAGATACAGGCGGGGCGTCTCTATCAGATCGTCTACGACGGGACTGCATTTCAGCTGGACCAGTCGTTGTCCGGCAGCTTCGCGCCGTTGCGCGGCTATATCTCCGGCCTCGAGATGAGCAACGGTGTCGACACGGACCACGACCTGAACGTGGCTGTCGGCGTCTGCACGGCGGACGACGGCTCCACGTCGATCCGGTTGACCTCCGCGCTGACCGACGTGCCGATGGATGCGACCTTCAGCGAGGGGGCGGGCGGCGGCATGGTCGCGGGCGATAGCCTTCCGACGAACGGTACCGTCCATCTCTTCCTAATCGACGGCAGCGGCAAGACGCCGAAGCTGCTTGGCAGCTCCAGCGCCGGGTCGGGTCTATCGCCCACGCTGCCGAGCGGCTTCACGGTCAAGCGGCGGATTGGATCACTGGCCACTGGCAGCTTGGCGAATTTCGTGTTGTTCCTCCAGAGCGGCAACTCGTTCCGCTACGTGACGAGCGGCGCCGACGCGCCCCAGATCGTTGACGAGACACGCGCCGTACTCACTGTTGCAGTTCCCAAGCAAATCGAGACCATTGCTGTCTTCAACGCTTCCTGCAAGCGGGCCAGTGCCTCGGTCGGCATCCTGTTCAGCGCGCTGGACGAAACGGACTCGGCGGTGGCTTTCCCCAGAATCTCACTTGCGACCGAGACCGCCAACGGCGTCGCGTCCGGGCAGTTCCGGATCAAGACCAATACCAGCGGGCAGATCGGCGTGCGGTCCAATGCCGCTCCGACGGAGGTCTACCTGTCGCTCACCGGTTGGGTCGATCTGAGCCGCTAGCCGGCTCCATCTTGGTGAACCGCACATAGAGGATCAGCCCCAGGTGCCGGTCGAGGGATCGCCGCAGCCACATCGGCGGCTTGCGCTTAAACAGAAAGCGCGTCGGGAAAAAGTGCTTCTCGGCTCGGTCAATCCGGCAGCCCGGCAGCATTCGACGCATATCGCGCAAACTGTAGGCGCGGCCGATCGGGTTGTGGTTGCCATCATATAGCCGCACCAAGTCTTCGGGTGTCCGAACATCGCCGAAGGCGTTCCGTCCTGGGACCGCGGCGAAGAGAAGGCGTACGCCAAGCCGGGTCAACGGCCACAGCCAGCGCGACAAAAGGACGTGCCGATAGTAGAGGGCGATCATGCCACTTCCGCCGACGCGGAGCGCGCGTACGGCTTCGAGCATGGCTTTCTCGGTATTCGGAGTGTGGTGCAGCACGCCGGACGAGGAGATGTGGTCAAAAGACTCGTCGGCGAAGGGCAGTTGTTCGGCGTCACCGACGATTGCTGCTGCGCTCAAACGCGCGCCGGTCAGCCGCTGGTGGGTCAAACGAACAGCTGTTTCGGTCAAGTCGATACCGACAACATCAGCGCCGCCACGCGCAAAGTTCTCCACCGGCCAGCCGTTGCCGCAGCCGATGTCTAGCACTCTTTCATTTGGGTGCCGGTCGAACTCATAGATCGACCGAGCGAATATGCCCTCGTCGTCCTCACGCAGAGCGTTGAAGGACTCGAAAAACTCTGGCGTTCCGGGTTGCGCAGCCACCTCTAGCGAGCCGAGAGGGTGCGTTTCCCAATAGCCCTTAACGGCAGCTAGGTCAGGGCTGTCACTCATGACGCATGCCTATAGTCGTGGTTGACGATCAAGGCAAAGCAAAAGAGCAGCATCCGCCGCAGATCGCGCAAGTTACAGGCGCGGTCGCTCCGATTGTGGAGGCCGTCATGCAACCGCACCAAAGTTTCGGATGACCCGTACTTCGCCGCGCCCCAGTGCTTGTGAGGCGCCGGACATCGCCCTTCTCGCAGCCGCGAGCCGCCTCTGACGCGGCTTCCTGCCCACTCCCTTCATCGCGAATAGGACAGACAATGCGCCAGGAGCCCTCCGGCCTGCATGACGAGCAGGGCCACGAGTACACGGAAACCAGCGGCGGCAACGGATGGCGCTTCGCCGGCAAGGTCGCCGCGGCCGTCTGCGCCCCCCTGGTGATCGCCATCGTCACCAATCTGTTCGTCGTCGGCCAGTGGGTCGGCTCCATCACCGAGAAGGTCGAGGGACTCGGCAGGGAGATCGAGGGGATCGCCCGAATTGAGGAACGGATCAGGGCGCTAGAGCTTGAGGGGGCGGCCCGACGCGGCCGGGACAGCGGTGGGGTGCAGCCGCTGTCCCCGGGGCGCGCGGCCCAAGACGGAGCTTTCAGGCCCTGACACGAGGTTTCGACATGACCTTCGACGAAGCCGTCGCGATCGTCATCGCCCATGAGGGCGGTGACGCGATCACCGACGACCCGGACGATCCCGGCGGACTGACGAAGTACGGGATCAGCCAACGGGCGTACCCCGCCGTGGAGATCCGGACCCTGACCTACGCCCGCGCGGCGGCGCTCTACCGGCGGGACTACTGGGACCGGCTGCGCTGCGGCGATCTGCCGGCCGGCCTTGATCTGGCGGTCTTCGACGGCGGGGTCAATCAGGGCGTCGGTTTCGCCGCCAAGGCGCTGCAGCGCGACGCCGGCGCCCGGCCCGACGGAGTGATCGGGCCGCTCACCCTGGCCGCCGTTCGCCGGCGGTCGCCGCCCGACCTGCTGACCGACTTCATGGCGCGGCGCATGAAGCGCTACGCCGGCCTCCCTCACGCCTGGAAGTTCATGCGCGGCTGGTCCAGGCGCACTTTCGACATCCACCGCCGCGCGGTTCTGGATCAACAGAGGAAAACGACACCATGAATCTCGCCAGCTACCGCAAGCTCATTGTCGCCTTGATCGGCGCCCTGCTGATCGCGGTCGATCAGTTCTTCGACTTCTCCCTGTCCTGGCAGGCCGAGGAGATCGTCAACACGGCCGTCCCGATCCTGACCGCACTCGGCGTCTGGATCGTGCCGAACGATCCGGAACCGGCGTGACCTGGCTTGCCGTCCTTCGCCTGCTCTTGTCTCTAACGGACGGTCTCGTGACCGCGCTGCGGCACCGTCAGCTCCTCGAGCTCGGGGAGGCCAAGGCGATCGCTCAGGGACTGGAGGACAGCCGTGCAGCCCTCGAAGACGTACGCCGCGCTCGCCGCGATCCTGCTCTTCGCAAGCGGGTGCGCAGTAAGTGGACCCGTGACGACGGGTCCTAGTTTTTGCGAGGTCTACGAGCCGCACGGCCTGCCGACCGCGGCCCTCGAGGCGATGTCGCCCGACGAGGTCGAGGCCTGGCTCGATAACCTCGTTGCCTACGAGACGCTGTGCCTAGCCGAAGGGGCGTAGGCGCGCTGAAGCGAGGGTGGTGCAGTTGCCGGCGCTACGGAGGGGGCCGTTGCGGAAACCTGGTGGCCCTTTCTATGTTTGAGCGCTCAGGCTGTGCAACCGACTAAGTGCCGAGAAAACGCTCAGCTATTCGCACGCTTCGCCAAAAGGTAAAGCGTTCGGTCGCTGTCGGAGACGGTTTGCCTTCGCTCTATGACGAAGTGGTTCTGAAAAGCCTCCTCAAACGCCGTTTGGTCGTAGGCCTCGGGCGGGTCCTCGCGCCATTGCGATATGGCCTGAAACATCGGGTCCTCCGGGCCGACAAACTCGATTACCAGCCATTGGCTCGTGAGGTTTGCCGCCAAGGTGGCTATCTCAGCCAGACGCAAGCGCTCCGATACCACGAGATGGTGAATAAGGGCGAGCATCATGACCAGATCGAAGCCGCCCTGGGCGCGGTCGAGGAAAGACCGCGTCTCCAAATTCATCCAGCCCAAGGCCGGAGACGGCGTTGCGATGTTCTGCACGAGCGGCAGAATGTCGAGCCCTTCTTCATGCGCCCGCGTCCAGATCGCTCCTACAACGTCCGGATCGCTGTCAACGGCGACAACCGAGGCGCCCTGACGCGCGGCAATCTCGGAGAACTCTCCTGTGTTGCAGCCCACGTCGAGCGCCCGGCTTGGCTGAGCAAGCGCCAGGCACGACTTGACGAAGTCGACCTTCTCCTCCGCGGCTTCTGAGGAGTAGTGGGTTCGATCGCCGTAGCTGAGCCAGTGCGAGGCCGGTGTCCGACGATCGATGGTGCCAATCAAGCGGCCGAGTCGTCGGTACAGGCGCTCCATCGCGTAGTGGGCCTGCTCGTCCGAGCGCTTGGCCAAATGGGCCGAGGCGACGCCTTTCGTGGTCCAGACCGCCTTAGAGCGCCGCTCAAGATAGGCCGGCAGCGTCACCGACAGCAGGAACGCCGGCCGCAGGCGCTCCAGACGTCCAAGGGCGCGAACCGCCTGTTCACCCGGCACGCCTTCCCGGTCATCCAGAAACACCGAAGAGAGCGGGCGCTGAAGCCTTGCATTCGCGATGAGCGGGTAGACGAAGGACCGCAGGAATTGCGACTCCGCCAACCACAGCCCTTCGCCGTCAGATCGCTTGCGGAACGACAGGGCGTCCAGGAAGACCGGGCGCGGCCCTTCGAACATGATGTTGAAAGGTGTGGCGTCCTTCAACACGACGTCTTCGGCCAACAGGGCGCGCGCCATGTCGAGGGTCAGATCAGCCGCCGCGCGAAGCATTTGCGGCGCCCATTCGTGCGGGTAGTTGGGAAACCGGACGACCGGATGCTCTGCCGCCTCGACGGCGTCCGGCAGGCCCGCCTGCGTCGCCACCTTGGCCGCTTGGTCGACCGGCAGTGTCTCGAAGTCAATCAGGCACTTGGACTCGCGAAAACCGGCCAAGGCTTTGCTGCCGCGGTAGACGTTCCAGCACTCTCGGCCGCCGTCGGCTATCAGGCGAACAACGCGGCCATCAACGAAGACGACGCGCCCGGCAGGATCGCGAAAAGAGGCGTTGACGGCGTCACTCACTCGACTTGTGGCCCTCGGCGTCGGGCTTGCGCTCGGCCTCGCGTGGCTTGATGCGCAAGAACTCGAGAACCCGCTGCCGAAGCCCGCGCAAGAACACCATCGCGGCGGCGATCGAGCCAAGGATGGCCTGTATGATGATCGCTCCGGTGCCTGGATCGATGTACGCGTAGGCTGGCTGTGTGAGCGCCAAGCTGAGGATCGCTGCGCCCATGGCGATGCGCCGCTTCATCTCTTTTCTCCCATGACATCAACGGTGAAGTCGGTGACCACGCCTTCGCGGGACACGGTGTAGAGGCGATCTGATCGGGAGTACTGACCGCCCGAGAGGCAGGCTGTGACGATCGAGAAGGTGTCGGCCAGGAAGACCGTCTCGTCGATCAGGTGGGTACAACGATCGGGCAGCCGGGCGGCCCAGAAGTTCGAAAACCTAGCCTCGAGCATACCGAGGATGTTGCGGCTCCCATCGGCATTGAGCGTCGCTTCCCCGCCGGCCAGTCGAAGTTTCCAACCATGATCTGACGTGAAGAGGATGATCGCTTCGGGATCGGTTTCTTCGAGCCGATCGGCGATCTGCAGCATGCGGAGATTCGCGCAGCGCAACTGGTCCAGGTAGAGATCTCGCTCTTCAGCGTTCGTCAGGTCGTCGTGCGCGCGGACTTCGAAGTCGAAATCGGTATCGATCCGCGTCGAGCAGTCGGCGGTTCGGACATAGGGTGGATGCGGCAACAGAAGGTGTGCCAGATAGAGCGCCGGTTGCGGCATCTCTACGGGCCGTAGTTCGAAGACCAGCAGGGGGTCGGCTGGTATCGACGACACCCAGTCCCAGACGATCTCCGGCGCGACGATCTTGAGGATGTCGTAGACCGGAAGCGTCCGGATGTACTGGACTTCCAGCAGCGAAAGCTTCGGGTTCGTGCCCATGCAGTAGGGCGCGCAAGCCCGCACCGGTGCGTAGCCGGTGTGTGACAGCATCGAGAAGCTGTAGCCGA